CCACTGACGGGAGGCTTGTTTCAAACCGTATATGGACTTCCTAAGCCTACACACCAAATCCTCACCCCCTCTAGAAGAGAAACCTTCAGGTTGTTTCATATAAACTTCCTCTTCTAGATCACCATTTAGGAACGCGGTTTTCACATCCATTTGTTGCAACTCAAGGTTAAAGTGTGCAACTAAAGCCAGAATGATCCGAAGAGAATCTTTCTTTGATACAGGAGAAAAAGTCTCCTTGTAATCAATTCCTTCTTTTTGAGTAAATCCCTTAGCAACGAGTCTGGCCTTGAACCTCTCAATGTTACCTAATGAGTCTCTTTTGGTTTTAAATACCCATTTACAGCCAATCGGCTTGGCCCCATTAGGTAACTCAACAAGGTTCCAAACTCCATTACTCTTCATGGAATTCATTTCATCTTTCATGGCTTCTAACCACAAATCGGACTATGCACAATTCGTAGCTTGTGAAAACGTTATGGGATCATCTTCAGCTCCAATGTCAGATTCTTGTAGATACGATACGTAATAGCTAGGAACTGCCGAACGCCTTACCCGAGTAGACCGTCTTAATGTTGTAACACCAGTACCTTGTGAAGGTTGTGGCGCCATTTCCTCTTCAGGAACTAGATGAAGTTCTTGAATTGGTTCAACTTCAGTCTGTGCGGGTTCAGGATCTTGCTGAAAATCCTGATTTGGTTCAACCATTGGCTCGAAGTCTAGTTCAGGAGGTTGCTGTAAGTCTTGAACTTGTTCTTCCAATGGTTGAGTTTCAACAGCTTGTGGAATCTCAATAATGGGTTGTACAATCGCAGGTGTGACTGAAGGCGCGCTGCGTATAAGTGCAACTCCGTTAGATGACGTTGAAGGGCAAGAGTCAAAATGATCAAATAAAGGAACTAAGTCCTTAAATCGATCTCTCCCACTGATCAAGTCATCTTCAAGAAACTTAGCATTTCTCGATTCCACTATCCTAGTTGTATGTTTTGGACAATAAAACCTATAACCCTTAGAAGACTGTGCATACCCAATAAAGAAAGCACTTATCGTCCTCGGGTCAAGTTTCTTTTCATGTGGGTTATAAATCCTCACCTCAGACGGACAACCCCAAACACGCATATGAAGCAAACTCGGTTTCCAACCTTTGAAAAGCTCAAAAGGTGTCTTGGAGACAGCCTTGGTCGGAACCCGGTTTAATATATACGTTGCCGTCTTGAGAGCGTCGGTCCACAATGATTTTGGAAGTGTGGAGTTGCTTAGCATACTCCGCACCATGTCCAAAAGAGTCCGATTCCTTCTTTCAGCAACACCATTTTGATCCGGGGAACCCGGCATGGTGTATTGGGCAACAATCCCATGCTCTTGAAGGAATTTAGCAAACGGACCCAAAGCTTGTCCATTTTCTGTGTATCTACCATAATATTCACCACCTCTGTCTGACCTAACTATTTGTATTTTCTTCTTGCATTGGTTTTCAACTTCAGCCTTAAAGGTTTTAAAGGCATCCAATGCTTCATACTTATGATGAAGTAAATACACATAGGTAAATCTAGAGAAGTCATCTATAAAGGTAATGAAATATCTCTGACCCTGCATATCCATATCTGGACAGCATATGTCAGTATGAATTATTTCTAACAATGTTGAACTCCTATTGGCACCTTTCTTTGACTTGTTAGTCTGCTTGCCTTTTATGCAGTCTATACAAGTCTCAAAATCAGTATAGTCTAGAGTAGAAAGTACTCCATCCTTTACCAACCTTTTAATGCGATCAAGGGAGATGTGTCCCAATCTCCGATGCCACAACATTGAAGGTTTATCGTTAACACTACACCGTTTGGTGCCAGTTTGAACATGTAAGGAATCATAACTTGCAACGTTTTGTAAGTGAAGACAATAAAGGCCATTAGACAATGTACCATTTCCAATACAAGTAGAATTATGAAACAATTTAAAATACTTGTCTGAAAAGTTAAAACTGAATCCCAAAGGTACAAGTCTCTAAATGGAAACCAAATTTCGTGAAAAAGTTGGTACGTAAAATGTCCTTTCTAAATTCAAAACGAAGCCACTTTCTAAAATCAGCTTGCAAGTCCCTACAGCTTCAACCGGCGAGCCCATCTTATTTCCGGAGAAGATGTTTCGCTCACTTGACATCGGTTGTCTCAGATTTTGCATATCCTGTAAAGAATTTGCAATGTGGATTGTTGAACCAGAATCAATCCACCAAGTGTTAGCATTAACGTCTGACATATTGGATTCAAAACAAACAAAGGAAGAGGTCATACCTTTCTCAGACATCCACTTCTTAAACTTCGCACAGTCTTTCTTCACATGCCCCTTCTTCTTACAGAAGAAGCATTTCTGTGCTTTCTTAATGTCGGTCTGAGGAGATAATTTTGCTTTCCCTTTAGCTGTAGTGTGGCGCTTTCCAGATCTTGCCTTAGGCTTGGCTATAGCAAGCATGACATTCTCCCCTTTTTGTTCCTGGCGTAGTTTCCCTTCTTCTTGCACACACTTATTAATAAGATCATTAATAGACCATTTCGTGTCATGTGTGTTATAGGCAATTTTGAAGGTGCTATACTCAGGAGGGAGAGTGTTGAGTGCAAAATGCACTACAAATGAGTCTGGCAGCTTGATCTTCAACTTGTCAAGCTGTGCTGCAATGTCACTTAGTTGCATTATGTGACTGCGCACATCATCGGCAGGAGAAAAACGAAGGGAGGTGAACTGCATTATTAAGGTGCTTGCTAGGGATTTGTCAGAAGTTTCATACTTCTTGTCAATGGCCTCAATACACTGTTGAGCGGTTTTAAGTGTATCAACCGTGCGACGTATATTACTCGGAACCCGAGACTGAATGAAAAATATGCACAGGCGATTGGATCGTTCCCACTTAGCCCAAAGGTCTTTGGCTTCTTGAGAGCTCGTCGCGGTTATAGCCGGGGGCTCTGAATTGTAAACAGCATAGTCCATCTCTCTCATGCCAAAGTAGATTAGGAGTGAATCCCGCCAGTGGCTATAATTATTAGCAGTAAGCATCGGAACATGAATGGGTGAGCTAGTTGGGGTAAGTTCTGAAAGGAAATTATGAATTGGTTAGTTTTTGATTTTCGAGGCATAAATGAACTAAAGTGCATGTTTTGCCAATGCAAACTTATGCAAAAGATAAACTCAAATGCCATAGAAATTGCCTGTGGGCTAAATTTTTACGCATAACGAATTTACCAAACTGAATGGTGAAAACCAGAAAGGGTACGGTTTGGGTGTTTCCACCCTTGATGACAAAACTACCAAAACTATATGCCGATACATAATCCCTGTGGGCAAATTATGATCATAGTCTGGCATTTCATCCTAATCAATCCTACAAATACAACAAAATTGCCTGTGGGCTAAATTTCGCCATATCATATAGAATTAATTACAAGGATATTGTCAACTCTTTATGTGAGTTAACCTGAATACAATTTAAGCAATTAAAGATGCTGTGGCTACTCTTTAATTACAAAACTGTAATCACTTGGCAAAGGGGAGTTTAAAGCCTAGCAAACAAATTAAACCAAAACATGATAGACAATCTTTAGGTATACTCCCAGGAAAGTTGGTCGAGACGAAGCTCGGTTAAATACCAACTCCTTAGACAGAGTAGCGTTGCAAGGGGACTAGTAGCAACAAGGCATTTAAGCCAGGGCCATAGAACTAGTATACCTCCCCAAGAAACTTCCCTAAGTCATGTATTCTCATATTTGAAGTAAAATTGTTTGGATGATCTATAATATGGTTATAAACCTGTGGATAAGGCCTTAAATTTGGGTAAACTAGAACATTGATTTACTTTATGTGCTTCATTGCTTTAGAAAGACACGAGCGGAGCAATAACCAAATGAGTAAACTAACATGCTTAATCTATCCTTAAAAAGGCACTAAATTCACCTAAAAGGCACTATAACATGCTTAATAGGCATATAATTCAGACCTAAAGGCACTAGATGCATACTTAAAGAACATGCTTTGCTAACATACGCATAATTATAACAATCAAATAATTAACGCAATAAACAATAAAACATGTTCAGATTATGCATATTATAACTCATGCTCCACAATTAAATTGCGATACTGAATACAATTTAAACTGAAATTCAATATTAAATTAAAATTCCAACAAATTGAGACAGAATAATTTGATCAAGAATTATAATTTAATATTAACTTTAGGTAAAAAAAAAAAAACCATATGAATAAAACCCTTAAGAAGAAGCTAAATATGATGAAGAGAAAAAAGAAAAAAATTCCTGCAAGCCCAAAGCCAAAATTTTTTTTTTTTTTGGAGCCTAGGTCTGGCCGAATTGGGCCAGACCCGGCCCAAAAACCAAGTCTCATCATCTCCTTCATCTGCGCATCGCGTACAGAGGAAACGAAGCGGAGAAGCAGGACCGAAGCGGAGACGGAAAGAAGCAGCGGCGGAGAGGCCGGGAGGACCCGGCTCCAACACCACCGCCACCGGTCGTCACTGCCGCCACGCCTCACCCTTGTCTCCGCCGCCGGCCACCACCGCGCCATTGAAGGAGGCAGTTGGTGGCGACACTATCGGGAGCAACCCAGTGCCGCCACCACTGCCGTCCTTGACGGGAGTCGGCCTGCGCCAGCAGAGGGGTGTGCCTCGCCGGTGAACGGAATCCGGCGAGCACTCCCCTCGCCGGCGAGCGGGAAGGAAAAAAAACGGCGAAGAAATTGCGCAGAGGTTTACGGGGAAAAAAAAAAAAACTGGAATTTTTTTTTTTTTAAACTAAATGCGGAAAAAGAACACACAATTTTTCCAGCAGCCCAACACAATTGCACAGTGCATACATATTCTAAATTATACATGAAAGATAACATATGTAAAAAAAAAACTGAATTGTGCAATTTAAACAAGGCTAGGCAGAGATAAAATTGGCTCTTGATACCAAATGTAAGCACATAATCCACGTTATAAACAGTAAATACGTGGCTAAGGAAAAGAGTTAGGATCACCAACCTCCAGCCATAGCTTTGATTCTTGATCACCAGGGACTCGCTGCAGAAGTTCCTCGGGCTGCTGTAGAATCTGCGTAAGTTTCAGTTATGTTTCTCTCACTTCTCTCAGTGACTCTAGATAGGTGTATGATACGTCAACCGAGCAGTGAGAGGACTTAGGGGTCTAAATAACCTACATCCCATCAATGTAGGTAACCAATTACCTAATGCTGACTAAGTTCTAATACTTAGTCAGCCTATTGATTTGCACCACTTAAATTACTATTGTTATTATATAATAATAGACTTAATAATAATAATAACAATATAGGGAAAACGTTACATATCTATGTTCGAATGGATTTTTTTTAGCACTTGGGGACATGTGACCTGACTTTGAGAAATGTGTATATGAACCAATGAATTTGAGAACAAGGAAAACATGTATGTACATGTAATGAGACAAATTTTAATTTGTGACTTAGAACAAGCTGAGTTGAATATAAATGTATATCGCTACACTTACATTTGAATTTGTGAGTGAGAACATGCCGAATTGAATGTAAATTTATGCCATTACAGTTCCATTGGGGTTGGAATGGTGTTTGACAGCTACCAACCATTAAAGAGTATTGGAATTCAAAACGGCGGTCAAGAAGGGCAAATATTGGAAGGCTACCTGTTTATATTCCGTTCAGTGTGCATAGATGATTACTGTCGCGCAGATTCCTAGTGCCAAAGGTTGGATAGTAAAAAAGTTTCATAACATCCAAACATGCCGGGTGGATTATACGCAAGGTGGAGATAACTACAACCTTACTAGTAAAGTGATTTCTAACTTCTTATTGCAAAAAGTTGCAGAGGATCCCCGATACAAAAATATTAAATATGTCATCGAAGATGTGAAGGCAAAATGGGGTGTTCGTGTTGACTACAAGAAGGCCTGGTACGCTAAGGTTATCGCGTTGGAGACGTTGTATGGTAAGTGGGATGAGTCGTACAACATATTGCCACAAACATTAATGGCGTTACACCAAACAAACCCAGAAACAGTTATTGATATTGTCACCACGCCAACATCTATCCCGAATGAGGTGTGGTTTAAGTATGCTTTTTGGGCATTCAAACCCGCAATTGACGGGTTCAAATACTGCTTACCCCTGCTTACGTACAGTTGATGGTACTCATTTGTACGGGAAGTACAAATGTCACCTTCTATTAGCAGTTGCAATAAATGCCAACAAAGAAATACATCCAGTTGCATACTCAATTGTTGACGCGGATAGTTGGACTTGGTTCTTGAAATTGGTGGTACAACACGTGTTTGGGGATCTTGACACATATGTATCATATCCGATCGGCACGGTGGTATCGACGCCACATTTCGCGAATTACCAGAATTGGCTGAGCTGCGAGTTTATCGCTGGTATTGCCTTCGACATCTGTGGTCAAATTTGATGACCAGGTTTAAGAACAAGAATTAAAAAACTTGTTTTGGCAAACCGGTTGTGCTATGGATGTAAAGGGGTTTGAAGCTGTAATGCATTTAATAAGTGCAAATGATGAAGAGACATATAATTATTTGATGGCAATCCCACCACGATTTTGGTCACTAAGTTACGATGGGGGCTTTAGACATGGGTTGATGACGACCAACAGCTCAGAATCTTTCAACAACAGTTTAAAGCGTTGTCGTCTTTTGCCTGTGTCGGCAATAATAAAGCTAACGTACGAAAAAGTGGCATTGATGTTCACTGAGAGGCGTACATCTGGTTTGGTAATGTAACAAGGTGGGTTGCAATGGCCACGTACTATTCTTGATGAAATGTTGAAAAGAGAAGGCCACAAGTACCGCGCCATTGTTAAACGGCATGACGATGTTGACAGCATTTATTCAGTTGCGATTGAAGGTGATCTAAATAGGTACGTGTAATGGACTTAGTAATGGAAGCAGAAATTTGGGAAAGAATAGAGAAGAGAGTTAGGGTGAGAAGAGCTTAGAGAGAGAAAAGAAGATGAATTTGGTATTAAATCTCAGCATAACAAATCCCCCTTGCTAATGGAGGCTAAATACAAACAATGACAGCTAATGCATAACAAATCTCAATATTCTCTCCTATGTTGATGACTGCTAACAGAAGGATTTACAGGGAGGACTGGGACGACGTCGTCTGAGAGCCTTCAACTGCTTTTAACGACTAACTCCAACAACGTCGTATTGGCCCAGCTTCTCAACGTTCTTAACAGTTGCTTCTGATGACACCGTTTTGGTTTCCGACTTCTCAACCTGTGCCTTCTTCTTCTTATTGTCAATCCCCATAGCCATTACATTACCCCCCTCTCCATGATATCCTTATCCCCAAGGATCAAACATTGGGAACTGAATCTTTGCAATGACCCTGTAGGGCGCATAATATTTGGCAGTAAGCTTCAAATTGTTCCTGACTGCTAATGTAATCTGCCTGTAAGGCTGGATTTTTAACAAAACCCAACCACCAACTTCAAAAGACCTCTTAGATCTGCCTTTGTCTGCTTGCACTTTCATCCTATTATGTGTTTGCATTAGATTATCCTTGAGGGCAGCTAGTATAGCCTCCCTCTCCTTCAGCCAACTGTGGCCCCTGCCTTCTGAATTCAAGCTGTAAGATAAGAGGGGTGGCAAATACCCATAAAGAGCTTGGAATGGTGAGCATTTCAAGGCTGTGTGGTAATTGGTGTTGTACCACAACTTTGCTAAGTGTAGCCATCTTCCCCAATTAGTAGGTTTCTGGAAAACCATACATCAAAAAATACCCCTCCACACATTTGTTGACTCTTTCAGTCTGTCCATCAGTCTGAGGGTGATAAGCTGTTGAGAGGCTTAACTTGACCTGGAAATTTCTGAAAATAGTTTGCCAAAATTTGCTACTGAAAATTTTGTCCCTGTCTGAGACAATAGTTTTGGGCAGCCCATGGAGTTTATAAACATTTTCCATGAATAATTCTGCTACAGTTTCAGCAGAATAGGGGTGACTGAGGGCTATGAAGTATCCATACTTGGTTAATGTATCTACCACCACCAGTATCACCTCCTTCTTATTTGATTTTGGTAGACCTTCAATAAAGTCCATAGACACACTTTGCCAAGCTTCCTCACATGTTTAATGGTTGTAGGAGTCCTGGATTAACCACATTCTCATCATCTCATGTTTGCATCTTTGGCACACATCACAACTTCTCACCATCTCAATGATATCCCTCTTCATATTTTTCTAATAAAAAAGTGGTTTCATCCTGTGGTTGGTACCAGCCTGCCCAGGGTGGCCTCTAAGGGCACCTTCATGCAGTTGGATCATCAATTCATTCCTCAACCCACCTGCAGAACCAATATACAACATGTTCTTATATCTAAGAAGCCCCTTAGTCACAGAGACTCTAGTATCAGCCTCAGGGCTTACTAAGGTAGGAGAGAGCTTCTCAGCAGCCCACTCATCATTCTCATAGCTTTTAATAATTTCTTCCATCCTGGACCACTGTAATGGAGTTAGTTGTGGCCTCTTCCCCAAATTCCTTCCTGGACAAAGCATCAGCAGCCCCATTCTCCATTATCGAATAGCACATTTTGATGAAAGATATGAACAAGAAGCTTCGAGAAAAGCATTGTTTCACCCCGTGGATATAGGCACATTTTTTACATCCCCCCACAGAATTGTTTCACTCCCGTGGATGTAGGCACATTTTTTACACCTCCCACATGCTCTATGCTCTGTCGGGTCGGGGTGTGGGGGCCCTTGGGGTTGGGGTTCAACCTTTTGGGATAATGAATAAAAGAATTGTTTCACTATACTCCCGTGGATGTAGGCACATTTTCGAACCACGTAAATCTTGTCTTCTTTACCTTTCTGCCATTATTATTGTTTCTTGTATTTGTTAATTTCAACATTTTTGTATTATTTAGGTAATTGATGATTATGTTAGATCTAAATAGCCTAACTATACTGAATATGGTATACAAGAGATCTGACCTCGTATATGAGCGGAAGCATAGCCCGTGTTGATCTCCAGCCATTGTTCCTGTTGTGTTGCCTCTTAACGGTAGACCGCTAGTCATATTTTGCCTCAGACTAGACTCAGAACCCTAGATGGTCTATTGGTGTCTACTGAGGGTCTGAGTACTGTAACTGAATGTGCTAACATCAATCATCATGTATCCCATCAATCCAGGATTATATTATGACAGAGTCTGATTGGCTAACAACTTCTAGTTATTCAGTCTAACCAGACCACTTAATAAGTCTAGTCAACTTGCACCACTTAATTAATGCCGTAATATATAATATACAATATAGATTATTGGGGAAAATCTTGCTGACTAATATTAAAACGTTCATTTATGTTGTACTCGATAATATTTTAGATGGGTAAAATATTAGGCTATATAGTCCCTGAGAGTTGTAGTCTGACAATTCTATAAACTAACTAGTCAATATATTATACTCTTATATCAAATTAAAATTCATTTTGGATTTATATTTTTCAATAAAGTTATTAAGTTACCTTCGTCAAGCCTGTATTTTATTCTGAAAAATTTTGTGTGTTTTCAAGTTGTAACCAGATTACACATTTATTATTTTGTACTAGTTTTTTACGCGCATTGCGCGATTGAGATAATGCCCAATGTTTTTCATAAATAAGTATTTTAAAGTATATCAATGCAAGATTATATTGGAATTGTTCATGTATAGATAATTGAAGGTTGAATTTGCGTATTTAAATTGGTAATTATAAGTTTATAAATGCAAGATAATATAGTCAAGATTGATTATAATTGTCAATAAAATAATTGTATGGGTATGGTTGAAACCAAATATGGGACATAAGGGAGAGCAAATAAAAATTAAAGCATAAAATATTAAATATATACTAATATTGTTTTAGGAGATTCCGGCAGTAGAATTTGTGGTTAGAGTTCTATTAAGACTTTAATATTAGAATTAGATTAATGTTGTAGTTATAATTCTATATTAGATTTTAATATTAGAATTAGACTAACGGTGAATTAACGGTACTTAATATGGAAAAGTTAACAGATCGGATAATCATATAATTAAGGATAAATTAGGAAATGTCAATGAAAAATTAAAATCTGAACAATCTGAACTATTCATTTGATTTAATAATTTGACGGTCATTTTTCTACCCAATGTTTATAATTAAATAAATATTTGAAAGTATATCAATGCAAGATTATATAGGAGAAGTTCAACATAAGTAATTTAATGTCTAATTTGTTTATTTAAATATGTAATTCATAGTATATGAATACAATGTAATATAAGAGATTCATTATAATTGTTACTAAAAAATTTTTAAATAGTCACAAAGTATTTTTGTTGCAAAGGGTTATAATATATTTAATGAATGCACATATATACAATATTAATGAATGAATCAACGGTATCAGTCCTTTAGGTCATTTTAAATGTTAATTTAAATAGCTAATTTTTTAAAATGTCTTTTTATCAACCGTTGATATAATTCGCTGGTCAAATCCGCTAACGCTAACCGCTAATTGCTGATTGTCAAACAAGGACATTGCGAGGTAGTTTCTCACTTCTATTTGTTGTGTGATTTGAATACCCTCTTTGTCAACAAATCCCTCAAGTAGTTAATATGATTGGCTTTATCAATTTAGGGTCCGTTTGGAAACCAGGAAAATGACTTCTGGAAAATGTTTTCTGGAAAATGAGTCATTTTCCGAAAAACATTTTCCTTTCCGGTGTTTGGTTGCATTCTGGAAAACTGTTTTTGTGTGTTTGGTTCATTTTCTGGAAAATGAGTAGAATTGTATAATTAAACATTTTAATTATTTTATTTAGAATATTACAACATGTATAATAATATATAATAATATAATATTAATTTTAAATATAATAAAAAATAGCTAAGTTTTTCAACAAAAAAAAAAAAAAACTAATAATATATCAAAAATATTATGGTGGTGGTGGTGGTGTAGTGGTAGTGGTGTTATTCGTTATATAATAATAATAATAATAATAATAATAATAATAATAATAATAATAATAATAATAATAATAATAATAATAATAATTGGTGGTGGTGTGATGGTGGTGGTAGTATGACGATGGTGTGGTGGTGGTGGTGGTGGCGGCGACGGTGGTGTGGTGGTGGCGGCGGTGGTATGGTGGTGGTGGCGGCGGCGGTGGTATGACGGTAGTGGTGGCGACGACGATGGTTGCGGTGGTATGGTGGTGGTGGCGGCGGCGGTGGGTGCGATGGTATGGTGGTGGTGGGGGCGGTGGTATGGTGGTGATGGCGGCGACGGTGGTTGCGGTGGTATGGTGGTAGTGGCGGCGACGGTAGTGGTGGCGACGGTGGTTGCGGTGGTATGGTGGTAGTGGCGGCGACGGTAGTGGTGGCGACGGTGGTTGCGGTGGTATGGTGGTAGTGGTGGCGGCGGCGGTGGTGTGATGGTGGTGGTGTGACAACGGTGGTATGGTGGTGGTGGTGGCGGTGGTATGGTGGAGATGGCGGCGACGGTGGTATGTTGGTAGTGGTGGTGGTGGTGGTATGGTGTTGATGATGTTGGTGTAAAAGTTGGAAAATGACTTCCCCCAAAAAAAAGGGGAAGTCATTTTCCATAAAATTGCCTTCCTTTTCCATTGACTTCCACCCCATTTTCCTTTGACCAGTCATTTTCCAATGTAACCAAACACCAAAACCCCGGAAAATGACTTCCAGAAGTCATTTTCCGGGTTTCCAAACACACCCTTAAATTTTTTCATTGTATTAATAAAATATTTGGTAAATAAATATATATCATTATTTTGTATTATAACTTTGATATTTAATTAAAAAATAGTGCACCAAAAAGATAATAGACAATGTAGTGAATATAATCAATTGATGAATTTGAATGTAAAGAATTTTTACATTGGAGAAAAATAAAGACAATATGACTAATGAAATTATTTCTCTTAATTAATTTATTGATAATGAATAGTTTTTTTTTTTTTAAATAAAGACATTGTAGGAACAATATAGCGAATATAATCAATTGATGAATTTGAATTTTGAATGTAAAGAATTTTTATATTGGAGAAAAATAAAGACAACATAACTAATGAAATTATTTCTCTTATTTATTTTTTTTTTGAATTGTTATTTCTCTTATTTAATTTATTGATAATGAATAATTTTTTTTTGGAATAAAGGCATTATAGACACATAATTCTAAATAGAGTAATAATTATGCCAACTTTGATTGAGATGAGATTCGAACCTAAGACCTTTCTTATTGAAATCAATGAGTAAGTTACCGGTGAACTAACGGAAAAGATAATATTTAACGCAATATCACTGGCTATGGCGGCTTTTGGTGCTGTAACCATTTTAATGGACACACTCCATCAACACTTCCTCCAACCCACTCCTCGTTTCCCTGTTCGCAACAAAACAATAGTCAGATTACTTTACAAAAATCTTTCTTCGTTGCAAACCTCTCTTTGAACAAGATTTCAAAGTGGGGGAGTGTGATGAAGCAATCAAAGCTTTGGAAGCACAACTGAGAAATGTCTCGGTTGAACTAAGGTTCCAAATAGAAGACCAATTGAAATTGTTTTACCTGGGGAAATCCATGAAGCTTAGGCTTCACTCTGCTCAAAATCTTATTCCCATATTGAATCGAGCAATTAAAGGTGGCTTAGAAACTGTGATGGAGATCCTAGGGAAGCACTTTAAACTGTCGGTATCAGGCATGCCGCCTCATATAAACAAAAGGGTCAAATCCTTTTGCACGCAGCATCAACTCATTCTCTATGGAAAGGAGAGTAAGGATGATGAACAAGAGAGCAAGAATGAACAAGAGGCAGAGAGAAGGAGGAATATGTTGTATGAAGCAGAAAGTGTAATCAGACAAGAACTGAGAGCCTCTTATCTCAACAAATACATGAAACAACGGATACAGGCTACACAAAGGATTCGTCAACTCTTCATCCAAGGAATTAGCCTCACATCTTACATCAACAAAGAGATGTTCAAGGTTAAGAATAATGCATACCACCAATCCAACAACTCACAAATCAACAATTATCCTGTTCCTCCTACAAGGCCAGAACGCGGCAACATTACGGTTAGTGATTCAAAGTCTGCAATCAAAATGGTGGGCTGCGATGATGAGTTCAACACCATAATGGACAACCTGAGCCATCAATCCTCAAAACGAGAAATTGTCTCAATTGTGGGAATGGGTGGCATCGGTAAAACCACCTTAGCTAGAAAGATTTATGAAGATTCTTCGTTCATTTCTTGCTTTGATTGTCGAGCTTGGGTTACTATCTCACAGGACTATAATCCAACACAAGTGTTCCAATGCCTGCTTCGTTGTCTTGCCCCAGGGGCCAGTCACACCAACGGAGCTAGCAACTACGAATTGGCTGAGCAAGTATACAAGCTTCTAAAACATCGAAGGTATTTGATCGTAGTAGATGATATTTGGAATACAGATTTCTGGGATGATTTAATGAGATGTTTTCAGGATGACAATAATGGAAGTCGATTATTGTTGCCCACTCAGCAAAAAAATGTGGCTGAATATGCTGATTTAGGTAATAATTTTTGCCATACCTTGCCTCTTTTGGATTCAAATGAAAGTTGGAATCTTTTTCAGAGCAAGATGTATAAGAGATCAATAACTCTACTGTCCACTGAATTTGAAAAAATTGGTAGAAAGATAGTATACAAGTGCAAAGGGTTACCGCTTGCACTTATTGTGGTTGCTGGACTCCTGTCAAACTCCAACCAAACTATTCATGAATGGGAGCATATTGCAAAATGTGTCCCTGCTTTGAGTTTAGATCATTCTAATCAGCAGGGTGAGAACATCATTGATTTGAGTTACACCTTCTTGCCTCATCACCTTAAACTTTGTTTTTTTTGTCATTTGGGTGTTTTCCAGAAGATTATAAGGTTTATGAACATATGATGGTTGATTTTTGGGTTTCAGAGGGATTTCTAAAGGTTTTGAGGTCTGGTGAGAGCTTGGATGGTGTGGCAAGGAGGAACTTTCAAGATCTTGTGGATAGAAAACTTCTAATTTGTGGAGAGACAAATGAGAGATCCTATCAGATGCATGATGTCTTGCGTGAATTGACTTTGAGAGAAGCCCAAAAAGAAAATCTCTTATGTTTCAAGAAGGGTTATGATATAATTAGTTTGAGGTGGAAGAGAAATCAATCAATAAACTCTTCCCATATATCTCAACCATGGAGCATCCAATCAAGAATTTGCAGGTACAGCAGTATAACTCCTACTACCAACACTTCTTCACTGATTGAACAGTATGGTTTTCGCAGGACTTCAAGACGGGTGGGGGTGCATGCACATTTTAAGGGCATTGGATGTATTTAGTGTGGAGATAAATGCCCGTAATATTTTTTTGGAGATTTTGGGTCTAGTGCATCTCAGATACTAACTATTGATTGTGGGTTAAATATTCATTATCTGCCTTTGTTCATGTTACGGAATCTACTGGAGCTACGAGTTCATGGTTATTCACCATGTGAACCGTATCTCTTAATATTTGGGGATTACCTCAATTAAGGAATTTCGATGTTTATAGAGGTGTTACATTAGTTCCTCCAAGATCGGTTCATCAAAATTAAAAGAGCACTAGTTGTTTGGATTATAGGAGTTGTACAAAGGAGTTGTTACTGAGGATCTCAAATCTAAGGTCATTGGGAGTTACTACTAATCATAAATTTGAATGCAAAGCTCCTAATTGGTTTGAAAGTCTTGTTTATTTATATAATAAAGTGGAAGGACTAGTGGTTAATGATGTCATACTTCCGAAGCTCAGAACTATTTATTCTATGGGGATGCTAGCCTAGAGAATTTTTGGCCAAATCTTAAGGAGTTAAGATTCTCTTAAACAAATTTAAAATGGAAGGATATGGATGTTTTTAGTAAGTTGTCTAAGCTTGATTACCTCTCATTGTCTGGATATGCTGTTAAGGATCGAAAATGGAAACCCAAAGATGGAGGATTTCGTCGATTAAAGTTCTTGGAGATATATGAGAGTCCTCTACAATATTGGGAAGTCACTAGTAATCATTTTCTGGTCCTTGAAACACTAGTCCTTGGTCAAATAGCTTTGAAAGAAATTCCTAGTGATTTTGCAGGAATAATTACTCTCAAATCAATCAGTTTACATGATTGTTTAGAGTCACTTATATCATCTGCTAAGCGTATTCAAAACGAACAGCAAGAGTATGGAAATGACAAATTTATTGTTGATATTCCTAGGTCAGATTTCTATATCTCCTTTGCTTTTCGAAAAAAAAAATATAAATTAAGATTTATTTTTGAATCCTTATTTTTCATCATTTTAATCCAAATTTATATCAATTTCAGCTATTAATTTCTAAACCATATTCAAATGGTATGTTGTGACAAAGACGCTACGCGAGAGTGAAAGCTCTGATGGTCAACATTGAGTGAAGAGGAAAAGTGAGAAGTGTGCTACAGAGAGGGCCCTAGGCCAGCTTATTACATGGCGGTTATAACTGAAAAAGGAAAAAGAGGAAAATACAAAACTATCCTCATTCATTACATTGTTTCTACATTTACACCTCTAACACCCCCCCCCCCCCCCCCCCCCCAAGTTGGCGCGTGTAGTTCTTGAACGACCAACTTAGATACAAAGGTTCGAAAAAGAGAGATGGGTAGCGGCTTCGTGAAACCATTCGCAACCTGATTATTAGAGGAAACTGAGAGAAGTTTGATGAAACCTTGGGAGACTGATTGCTGTATATTTGGGCAAACAAACCACAGAGAGGTAGCGTACTAATCACCAGTTAATAACTCACTCTTATGAATCTAATCCGATCGAACTTTGAGGTTTGGTGCATAAAAATAACAAGCAGATTTAAGATAAATAAAAGGGGTTTTGCAAACAAAGGAGCGAAACAGGATTCTTGGGATCACAATGTTTAATCACCTAGTGCCAGATAACGTTTGTAATATTTAGTTTGGATTTAATATTCGTGTGGGAATGCTAAGTCGAATCGAATTACTCTCGTAACTTCTATTCCTAGTGAGTTCCCATTCTCATGGCTCAAACACCCGATAAGATTAAAGATCAGCATTCAATTATTCCTAGTTACTACCATCTCTCGATGCGCAATAATAAAGAATAAACTTCCCCCAATAAATTCCCCTCTCAAGGTCCAACCATTAGGTGCAATCGTGTGTGCCCTAGTTCATGCCTCAATTCTCATTGGTGACACAATCATGGCTATGAAACTAGTAATCTAGGCCTTTAATTACCAACAATAACAGGTTAAAACAAGATTGCAACACAAATTATAAAACCAAACATAAATATATTAAGAAATTAACGAACTAGGCACATAGGTTCATAAACAAATTCACCCAAAAATCCTTAAGAGTTTTAGCCACTCATGGCCATAACAATAATCAATACAATATTTAAAGATGAACAAATAACTAAAGAAACAAGAGAAAGAGTGAAAGAATTCTCTCGAATCTTCCTAGCCAGTTCTCTATTCCAAAGCTAGTTGTCAATCTTCAAAATGGTCTTCTTTGCCTTGCTCTCAATTGTCTTCCAAAACACCAAAAATCTCAGAAGAGAAGTCTTCTTTTAGGGTTGATGGAAGATGATCCTTTTATAGTTGATACAAAGTTGGGATCAACCCTAGAAAAATTAGGAATATTCCTATATTAAATAAGGAAGTTGCCACCACTTTGCTTTTGGAATTTAGTGAATTGAATTTGGAATGCAATTGCTGGTTCAACTTTGGAATCTGTTGCCGTCCCCTTCTTTTTTTAGTAATCAGCGTCTTTCTCGACGCGTCGAGCCTTCAGTCTGGGCAAAGTTTGAACCTATTGAAAAATTTCGACACGTCGAGTCTCTGATGCACCGAATCTTTCGTCTTTTGATCCCTTCGTGCTTGAAATTCTTCCCTTACTTCTACACTTAGCCTGAAATGGTGAAAAAACACTACCAAACACCGTAAGGTATTCAAAACAAGTGTAAAACCATATCCTAACGAGAAAGCAAAGAAAACAAATATTAAATAAGCACGATTATGCGACTTTGCTATCGAAATAAATAAGGAAAGCTATAGAAAACATACATAGATGTGATAATATCATAGACCTTTTCACGAACGATATGGCAGTCAATCTCGATGTGTTTGGTTCGTTCGTGAAACACGTGGTTTTCGGCTATAGCCACCGCGGACTTGCTGTCACAAAACAAGGTAGTAGGCTTAGATAACTGCACATGCAAATCTTTGAGCAAGGAAGGGAGCCATTGGATTTCGCATACTGTTGTGGCTAACGCTCGATACTCTGCTTCTGCGGAGGACTTTGATACGGTAGCCTGTTTCTTCGACTTCCAGGATATAAGAGCTTTGCCAAGGTAAACACAATAGCCGGTAAGAGATTTACGAGTCTCCATACAAGAGGCCCAGTCGGAATCTGAGAAAGAGTTCAACTATATGGGATTGTTTGCTGGGTAAAAAATACCTTGGCCGGGTGCCCCTTTGATGTAACATAACACCCGATGAGCAGCCACAAGATGTTTTTCAGTAGGAGCATCAATGAATTGAGTTAACTGTTGCACAGCATAGCTAATGTCAGGCCTCGTAGCCGTGAGGTAGAGCAGCCTCCCTACTAATCCTCTATAGGAACCAATATCGTGTAGAGCAACACCATCCCCATGCATTAAGTGATGGCCAGGAACCACCGGAGTGCTTGCAGGCTTGTAGTCGATGAACCCGGCTTCATTTAGAATATCCATAGCATATTTGTGTTGACACAAATTCAGCCCAAACTTGCACATATTGGCCTCAATGCCTAGAAAAAAAACCCCAAGCTGCCAAGGTCCTTTATCTTGAAAGCGTTGTCCGGAAAACATTTCAATTCTTGAATGAGATTAAGATCACTACTGGTGACCAAGATATCGTCCACATAGATTAAAAGAGCAATGAAAGACGGACCACAGCCTCTAGTGAATAATGAAGGATCTGATTTTGCTTACTCAAAACCAATATGTGATAGAGCAGTGGTGAGCTTTGCGTTCCACTGTCAACTGGCTTGATTCAATCCATACAAGGAACGTAGTAACCGACAGACTTGGTTAGGTTGAGTAGCTTGGAAACCGGGAGGTAAAACCATGTAAACCTCTTCATGTAAATCACCATGTAGGAATGCGTTGTTTATGTCCAGCTGATGAATATGCCAAGAACTTGAAGTGGCAACAGCTAGAAATGAGCGAATGGTGGTGAGGTAAGCTACATGTGAAAAAGTCTCAATATAGTCCACACCGAGTTGTTGATTGTAGCCTTTGGCTACCAATCTAGCTTTGTTTCGTTCCACTGTACCATCTACTTTGATCTTCACTTTATATACCCATTTGCACCCAATGGGAATCTTATCAGGAGGTAGAGTGGTTAATTCCCATGTGCCATTGTCTTGAAGTGCCTTGATCTCTGCATTCATATCGTCTTTCCAACATTCAGATTTGATTGCTTGATTGTAGGTTTGGGGTTCACTAACAGTTGTAACAGCCATAAAAAACATTCTTTGAGTATGATCAAGATGATCAAAAGAGACCACCTTCGATACTGAATTGGGTGAAGAGCCATGCTTTATAATAGTATCACAGTAGTAACTCTACAAGTGGCTAGGAGCATGCCGGACTCTGCTAGAACGCCTAGGGGATTGTTGATTATTCTGAGGGCTAGAAACTTGTGTGTCTTCTGCCTGACTGCTGTGAGAACTAGAATCTCGTTCCAGAAGACTTGTCTATTACATATTCCCTCCATTCCATTTTATCTGTCTTACTTTCCTTTTTGGTTTGTCCCAAAATAGTGTCATATTTCTAAAATTGAACATAACTATCACTCTACATTTCCTAATTTATCCTTTTGACTTTTCAAATTTCTAGAGGTAAGTACAATTGTACTTTGTACAAACAACATCTACTTTTGAGGGACAAAATTGGAAAGTTAGTAACATTTGTTATGTTGTATTAAAAACCGTGCAAAAAGCAAGTAAGACAATCAATTAGGGACGGAGGGAGTATTATTGAGCATCCCCAAATTTAGCCCACTAAGATCTGGATCATCATCTACTTGTCTCGATCCAGTCTGCTCATAAGAAATAGGTGTGGAGATGGAGATGTTAGGTAATGAAGGATTGAATGCCTCGGCTCTTGGCTCGTCTTGAAGATTCTTCTTAGCATATGGGAACTGATTCTCATAAAACATTACATCCCGAGACACAAATGTAGACCTTTGTTGGATGTCATACAAAATGTATCCTTTCACATTAGCTGGCATGCCAATAAATATGCATTTCCTGCTGCGGGGAGCCAACTTATG